TATCTCCTTTTATTGAAAGCAATGAATACTTGTTTATATTGATTTCTTTAAGTGCTAATTAAATATTTCCTCTGGGTCATATTCGGTTGGCCAGATGAATCAGCTTCAAACTATTAATGTTAGGCTTGAAACACATCCATACTAAAAAGAACAACTTTTGACCCACATACAATTTGAACTATAAAAAATTCGGTCAATGGATTCTTTGTTTGTAACGATACCAAATCTGCACTAAAATGACAGCATTACGACTCAATACTGATTATCAGGACAGTTGCTATGCATTTATACACAATTAACTGAAAAAGAGATGTAACTTTGATCCACTTATTCTTTCACCTGAAATACGATTGATTTCAAGGTGGTATACTTTGTATAAACAGATAAAAATTTGATTTTGTAACTACAAATGTAGGTTAGGGACAATTCACACTTACCTTATGTAACATCCAATTTCTAATATGCTCAATTATTTGCTTAGTAAATTTTAATTATTGGGTTAAATAGAACTTATGATTTAGTGGGAGTTTGAGTCTGAAATTTTAGAATTATACTTCTTAGGAGTATATTAGAGGATTTGGGAAAATTTTACGTCAAATAGATATGTAAAACTGATTTTCTTGGGAGATATTTTCTGGAATATTTTTGTTGGATATTATAGATTATCTCTTTATGAACGTGTAGGCGAAAACCTCATAGAAAACGGAGGTCCGAGCGAAAAGTTATGAATAATTTAAGTGTTGATGGTCAAAAGCTAGGCCAACTCGAGTTTTAGCATTATAAATTGAATTTTTGGCCCATTTTTCTTGTCATTTAAGTCCAGAACTCACACACACACACTAGAGGTGCGATGTTCACACACATATGCTTGATTCAACTCAAATCAAAGAGGAACTACAAGATCTTTGAAAGATTTGATCATCAAGTAAGGTATAATCTATTTTTGCACTTGTTTTTTGTTGACATTGTTGTTATATGGATTGCATGTTGAGATAGAGTTAGGGTTTCATATAGGTTTGATCTTAAGTGAATAAAATGAGTGATTTTTAGTGTTTATGACATGAAATGGTCATTAGATTCAAGAGATTATCAAGATTTATGCAAGTTCATCATATGAACTTTGA